ACATGAGGAACTGTATGAAAGGGTCACGGCATTAGGAAGGCTGAGAACCACTGATCTAAGACATCTCTCTTTGTGTTGTTCTTTGCAAAAAAGAAGATCCTTCTCCCAGAAAAGAGGTGTAGCTATCTAATCTCCTCCTCCCAATCAAAATAATAGTAACTAATATGTAATGAGGTCCTCATTATGTGCCAAGCTCTATGCTAAGCATTTTGATATATATTGTCCCCTTTGATCCTCACAACAAGCCTATGAGGTAGGTAAGGTACTCTTATTCCTGTCTTCACTTGGAGAAATTCCCAGATCAGCTAGCTTGATAAGGGGTTCTACAATACAGTAACAGCCTGCAGTAACAAAATTAAGATTCATTCAAAAATAAATAAGAGCATGATGGCTGTATTTGGGGAATAGTCTTTAAGTAACTTCTTGTGATTAATGGATTCCATATAGAAAAATTTGGTTGACACATACATTGTACAAAGGGAAGTGTCTTAACATACTGAAATTCAGTTTGGTCAGAGGTTGTTTCACACTAAATTCATCCTGCACACATTCACAGATTGTATTCCTATCCCCCTTTTAGTTACACTTCCCCTTCCCTCTGGGTCTAAAAAGTATGCCTGCTTCATAAACACACATGCCATAAAGAAATGTGGATGGCCCAATCTTCTTGAAAACCTTAGTTTGTTGAATTACAGTCTCTTGTCTCATAAAATTCTTCTTTAGTAGATATTTGTTGTATCCCTGGGTGAGAATGATTGTCAGCATGGTCAGTGATACTATTGGGGAAATTGCAGGGATGTAGATAGGTAAAGAGTGGCCAGAGAAGACACAGGGAAGATGTAGATCATATACTGCATAATGATGTTTGGGTCAATAATAGATTGAATATATGACAGCAGATTATATGGAGTGTAAGAAAAAAGTTTGTTTGCAATGTTGAAAGGAAAGGCTGAACCCTACTAAGATGTTGGATTTACTGGTAGTTCTGGGTGGTTTAAATAGATGAGAAGACTCAGCATGTTTTCTAACCACCATGTTCCTGCCCCAGGCTTAGGCCTGGAGTGGGCCAGGGGGAGGAAGGGAGCCTGGGAGATCACCACCCCCCACCCGCCAACCCTCTGGTTCCCTCATTCCCTCTCTCTCTTTCACCTCTTCCTTTTATTATTTCTCCTCTCAAGCTTTATTTCTCTGCATCTCTTTTGATCTATGCTCTTCCTTTCTCTCCCCTTCTCTATTTTTCCCTTTCTCCATTCCTTACTCGCTCCTCCTAATGTCTTTTCTCTCGCAGACAGTGCTTTCCTCCATAGCCTTCCCCTGGCCCCCACAATGTGTGTGTGCATGCATGTACACACACACACTTTATCTTTTATAAAGTATTTTTACTGTACCTTTTCTATGTTTAGCTATGTTTAGATACACAAATAGTTACCACTGTGTTACAATTGCTTAAAGTATTCAGTACAGTAACATGATATACAGGTTTTTAACCTAGAAGCAATAGGCTACATCATAAGTATTAGTGGGTTATACCACCTAGGTTTGTGTAAGTACACCCGATGATGTTTGTACAATGACAAAATTGCCTAGCCATGTATTTCTCAAAATGTATCCCCCTCATTAAGTGATTCATGACTATAGTTGGATAGGGAGGATAGACCTGAATTTTAGGAGCAGCTGTCAGTGATCAGCTGTAAAGTCTTGGGCAAGTCAACCTCTCTGTACCCCAAGTTCCTCATCTGGTTAACAATTGGGTTGGACTAGAGCAGCGGTTCTCAACCTGTGGGTCGCTACCCCTTTGGGGGTCGAATGACCCTTTCACAGGGGTCGCCTAAGACCATCAGAAAACACATATATAATTACATATTGTTTACAGTAGCAAAATTACAGTTATGAAGTAGCAACGAAAATAATTTTATGGTTGGGGGTCACCACAACATGAGGAACTGTATTAAAGGGTTGCGGCATTAGGAAGGTTGAGAACCACTGGACTAGAGGCGCTATAACATTCCTTCCAGCTCTACGACTAATAGGCTGAGTCCTGGTCAGAATCTGGTCAGATCCACAAGGTTCCTGGGGTGGTTCCCTTGGAGATGAGGCCATATTGCAATGCATAATAGGAAATGACACAGACTTAGTGTCAGACTCTCCAGGTTTTTTGCCGGAGACCAATTCCAGCATGTTCAGCAAGGCTGCATCTGGGAATGGCTAGTGGCATTTCCCCAAACCTGAATAGGATACATTAAATTGATTGTGGCTGCCAGACAGCTAAAAGGCATCTTAATCTACATGTTATTGCCTCCTACTGGCTAAAACATCTGAACAGCTGTAGGCTAATTCTTTCATTCTGACAATGGACTCTGTACCAAACCCTGACCCTTTGAAGTGTATATATCTGCCTCGCCTCAGGACAAGTTGTGTTAATAGAAAGCATGGGGTCCTGGGGACGAGGAGAAAACCTAAGACCTTAGACTTAAGACCTTAACTTCTTAGCTCCTTTAGCTAAGCTCCTCTGACCCCCAATGCCTTTCAAAATTATATCTTGTCTCCGGACTCTTTATTAGTCCCTGGACTCTATTTACTCTATGCACAGCCTTCTCCAGATTCCTGAACCCTTCTTGATGCTGGGACAAGAACCCCGGCAGTTTTTATCTCTCAGAAACAATTATGGGTTAGATCAGGGGTGGGCAAACTTTTTGACTGGAGGGCCACAATGGGTTCTTAAACTGGACCGGAGGGCCAGAACAAAAGCATGGATGGAGTGTTTGTGTGAACAAATATAAATTCAAAGTAAACATCATTACATAAAAGGGTACGGTCTTTTTTTTCAATAGTTTTATTCATTTCAAACGGGCCAGATCCGGCCCGCAGGCCGTAGTTTGCCCATGGCTGGGCTAGATGGTTTATACTGCCTGGTGAGACTGTATCAAGTAGGAGTTAAGACAATGAATTATGGAGTTGGACCTTAGTTTGAAAACCAGTTCTGCTGCTTCCTAGTGGGTGCCTTGGGACAAATGATTTGACCTCTCTGAACATCAGTTTCTGTATCTCTAAGATGATGAGAATAGAACTACCTCATAGGCTTGTGAAGATGAAAGGCATTAATGTAGTATGTAAAGTACTTAGCTCATCACCAGGCAAAATGGAAGTGCCCAGTCAGCCGTGTCTATGACTACTACTCATTGCTATCAACGTAATTCTTCTGATATGGGCATGGCTAAGTTTAAGCATTTTTCATGAATACAGTTTTATCTTTCCGGATGGAGTTTGAGAAATGTATAAACAGATCTTTCTGGCCAAAGCATCTCTAGAGTCAGATCTGGGTTTAGTTCTTTGCTCTGCTTCTTACAGGCTCTGGGACCTTGGGCAATTATTTAACATCTCTGTCCTTATCTGTAAAATGCAGGCAGGTATAATGCCTACCCCCAAGGGTTGTGATGAGTATGATAATGAATGTGGAGAACTTAGTGCTGTGCCTGACATTTATAAGCCACTCAGTAAGTGGTGGTGTGGGCGAAAAGGGGCCACATGCTGAACTGACAAGCTCAGGAGAGGCCTGCATGGCAGTTTTGCAGACTTGGAGACCTAAAGTAACCATAAAGGATGGTCTGAAATTAAACCTTACCTAAAAGCAGTTATGGTGGGCAGTTACAAGGTCAACCTTTACCGTAACTGAGCCTATCTGTCTTTTTGCATCTGTGATAACATGTCTTTGGGATGTCTGGGTAACTTGTGACTTCCCTTTTTATGGAGCCCCTGGGGCACAGCCAGGTGTGCTGGGCCCAGGACAGATACCACAGATTTCTTCTTAATTGTTCCTGCACCCACCTAAGTATGTGTCCATCATTTTACTTTTTATCCTATCACAGAGTTTTCCCCGTTTCGCTTAATCCCGCCTCCTTAAATCTGTCACCAATGAATTTCATGTATAAATATGGATGTAACCCTGCCATTCTCTGGAGCATTATCTCAATTCGTTGAGGTTCTGCTTCCCGGCATATGTCGACAGTTTGGCTCAAATAAACTCACAAAAATTCTTTACAGGTTTCAATGTTTTTTTTTACGTTAACAGTGGCTTTAATACTGATAGTGAAAATAATCAGTGTTGTGAGAATAATGATTACCTCCACTACCACTACTCTTGTTGGCATAGAGGGTTGAGTGTGTTCAAGTTTGTACAGTTTTGGCATACCTAACCAAAATGTTAGGAGAGGCAGCTGTCGCTGTTCCTGAAAGGACAGCATAAGAGTTGTTGCCAGACTTCACTGACAGTGGCTGGGAATTTAAAACTGAGTTGTTTTTGGAGGCATGATGAAAAATGATTCAGCAGACTATATTCTCAGCAGAAAAATTCTATTTATTTCTACCAGTCCCATTATATCTAAAAACTGTAGGAGGAAAATGTAATTCTAAACTGGCCTTGTACCTCTAAGACTCAATTTCAGTCGGTCAGCCAGGACATGGTGTTCATAGACTTCCTCAGCAGCATCTGGGTGCAAAGATGTAAGGTCTCTATTCTTTGTCAAGGTTGTCTTCATTCGTAAATGGTTGGTAACTATTCTTGAGCTTCTCCATGGGTGTAAGATTCATTTGATGGATAGATGTATTGGAAGGATGGGATTTCTCAGGAATTCGATGTTAGAGTAGGTGGAGTTATATGGGACTGTAGAGGTATTAGTTAAATAGAAATAAAAAAACTGAAATTGTCCTAATGGTTTCGGAGATGAGTGTATTTACTGAGGGAGGGATATTGGCTTTTTCTTTTTGTGTCCCTCCATTTTTCTTAGTACTCTGTTAAAAGTCAAAGAGACAGAAAACAGCCAGTCACTGCAAGCAAAGCTAAGCTCCAGGTTTCCTGCCTTCCCAGACCACTCCAGGTTAGGATGGTATTGGCCACTTTCTAAGGGAGTGTAGACTCCACCTCACCAGGCACCCACCCTCTGGCCTGGACTCAGACTTTCTCCACTCTAGCTTTCTCCCTTATCCCCTTCCTTTAAGGAATACTAACCACAGGTTTCAAAGTTGTCTTCATAAGCATCTTTCAGCATCATCTCCTCTACATACCAGGTAGGCATTCTCTTTTTTGGTCTGGGTTCTGAGGTTATAGAAAAGAAAAATGGATTTCAATTTTGTACAGACATTTAGGGGTAATTTCAGATATCTAGAAAAACACTTCCTCTATTCTTCCACCAGATTCCTTCTACTCAGCTCTCATCTTCACCCCTCATCTCAGATCAGTGCCTCTCTCCTCTTCAGTGTCCCTGGCCAAGTTCAGGCCCCTCCGTATAGATATAACAATCCAAGACTCTGGGGTAGCTTGAGGGCCAGATCCCTTGGAGAGCAGAGATGAGATTATAATATTGATACTTGACCATCACGGTGACTGAGGTCCCAGCAAACACTGAGAATGAGGGGCAATTAAGAACAATAGGCCTTCAAGTCCTCACAGCTATTTTTCTTTAATACCTTTATTATATTGGGAAAAATCATATAGCTTGTTATAAAAAGAAAATTTCCAATAAAACAAAAAAACAAAGAAAGGCACCTAGGCCTTTTACTTCTCTCCTAGTATATCACACCTAGAGAAAACCACTGCTATTGTTTTAGTGATTTTTCTCCAGATAGTCTATGCATGTGTAAACATCATGCTTCACATGCTATCCTCTGACTTGCCTTTTTCTCTAACAAAACGTCAGGTTGTGGGAAACTTTCCATGGCAGTAAATATGTCAACAATAGCCCTTTTAATGTCTGTATAGTATTCCATTGTGTAGATGTACCCTACTTTATTTAGTTGTTTTGCATTGTTAGACATTTAGCCTGTTTATAACATTTAGCTATTGTACCTAATACTGTAATTGGACAATCTCAAGCATCCTTTTTTGGGGTACTTGTGTAATTATCTTTGGATATAGATCAATAAATGAGATGATTGGTTCACAGTGTTTCCACATTTTTGAAGTTATCAATATATATATTGAAAGAGTGAGAACAAAAGGGAGAAGACAACCAAAGTACTCTCCATAAAGATTGTGCCAATTTGTACCTCCACCACTGGAAATTGTAACTTTTAAGATAACCTATACCCATTCAGACAAAGATCTTGTGTTAGCCAGTGCTGAGCCATCATATTGGAGTACTAAGTGGTGGTACCCAAGGACTCTCCCTGTCCTTCATCCACTTCTCCTGACCACCAACCATAGTATGAGAAAAGAGTTTCAGACTCAAAATAGGAATGTTTTATAAATTGTGAGAAGAAGGTCTCTATATAGAGTGTCCCCCCAAAATGTATACACACTTAACAGCTGATAGCTCAATTGATGTTTCTTTCTTTTCAGATTTAACCCATTGGAATTAATCATTATTCAAAGTGAATATACATTTTTTGGGACACCTGTATTTTTTCTTCTCTGACTGACTACTGATCTAGCATTACCTTCAAAAAAATCATCATCGTCATCATCACAGTCGTCGCAATCGTCATAATCATCATAATCATCTTCATCATTGGTGTTAGTTTCTGGGAACTGAAAGTCAGCTCTATAGTTGTAGTGAAGCTCAGTAGTGTTTTGAGCTCCATTTACCTTAGAACATTCACCTTCCTCCATGGGTTCATCTAAGGCAAATGTCACTGATACATTCTTTTTAGGTGTTAATCTTAAGCCTTCTTTCTGTACAGCAAGAAGATGAAGGGGGAAAAGTCAGTTGGTGCCAACAGTTTAGAGATTGGTCCCTGTGGCAATAACATTTAAAGAGTCATTTACCTTTAGGATTGGCTTTAGAGGCCTAGTTTCCATTGAATGTTGTTCTAGAGGCTCTTCTTTTTCTTCCATTTCTACGTTGGTAAGGAGCCTGGGGAACATAGAAAGGACAAAGCAATAGTGAAAATAGACACACTTCAAGCTCCTTAATTAAATGCACCTGTTACCCCATTCCTGCATATGTATTTGAACAATGAAACGGACAATAGAGCAAGACATTTTAGCCTTTTATTCCTCAAAACCTTGATCACCTCCTGTTTTCTTATTTTTCTTTTTCATATTCCTCTTCTCCCCCATATTTCCTTATTATTGGATCAGAGAACTACAAGTAGAGAATGCGGGGTGGCTCCAGGACATTCATATAGAAAATATTGCCTAGAAGTTCCTTAAGGGGCTTGTGTTCCTTTTCTTCTCCACACAGCAAATTGGGGAATAAAAATCATGTTTTGGAGCTCAAATGTTGATAGTTTGGCTTTACCTTTCTGCAACTCATCCCACTAATGTGATCACTCAAGTTGTGCCAGGGGGAGGGTATACCTAACAATGCTGGGAAGTTTATGGTCACTGACCTAGCCCCATTTGAGCCAACTGATCTTGAAAGACTTGCTCAGAACTGTACAGAATCCAAGCACCTCCCAGAACTCCCTGCTTATGTTGAATATTGATTCCTGCATCTGTTCTTTTTAAAAATTATATTTTATTATTGACTTTAGAGAGGAAGGGAGAGGGAGAGAGAGAGAGAGAAACATCAAAGATAAGAGAAAATCATTGATTGGCTGCCTTCTGCATGCCCCACACTAGGGATTGAGTCCACAACCCAGACATGTGCCCTGACCAGGAATTGAACTGTAACCTCCTGGTTCATATCCAGCCAGCGCAGCCCTTCAAGTAGGGGCTCATGGTTACTTCTTTGGAGGTTTTGGATAGCTGAACAGGGCTCCTGTGACCAAAAGAGAAGACTCCAGCTCAGGAACCTGAGACCACTGGGGATCAAAGTCCCTCCCACTCTCAGCTAAGGAGCAGAGGTACACATAAGCTCTGCAGTGCCTAGAGAGGCTTTAAGACTTCCTAGGAGAACTCAGTATTCACAGCTGAGAATGTAAATAAAAGCTACAAAATCTAAGGTCATTCAATAAAGTGGTTGTGCTGTAATGTCTTAGATATGTGACTTTGGGCAAGGAACTCAGAGTTTTTGAGCCTCATCCATAAAATGAGGATATTGAAGCTTCCAGCTTTACAGAGCAATTTTGAAGTCTAATAAGAAAACATATGTGAGAGTAGTTAAGATTGGGATATTGTCATCATCGAGGCAGAAATCACCACTATAAGCATCACCTGTCAGGAAGAGGCTTTGCCTGAGATCTAGCATATGGGGCTGATTATGGAGTGGTGCAAGGTATGCATCAGCTGGGCTTGAGAGGGCAAAAGAGGGGAGGGGTTGACACTTACCAGAAAGAACAAGAACTTGTTGTCATTCATTATCCTTTCCAGATATTTAATAATATCACAAGGTAAGAGGGCATTCTTTTTGTCTTGCTTATTTGCCAATCTAGAGCAGGGCACAGGAGAGAGGGTAGGAAGAAGAGAGGAAGAGTAAAACATAAATAGAGGCAAAGGGCAAGAAAAGAAGGGAAATAGAGGGAGAACCTATTATGGTACAGTTGCTACATATTCAAGAACTAGCTTTAAAGACATGCACAATGAGATGAACCAGACATTTTTCTAGCCAATTCTCAATGACGGAAAGAATAACACATATAACTTGAATCCAAGATCATCCCCAGATCGAATTTCTCACTTCATCTCTACATTATGCCATAAAACTTTAATTAGAATTGCTAACTGGGATATGAACAGATTTGGAGTTTTTAAACAGCCTCTGCCAAACTCTGTTCATACTTGAGTTGGGGGTGCTAATGAGGAACAAAAAATGCAAAAAGGGAGTGGGGGTGATGATTGATTGGGCCATCCGAAGTATCACCCTGGAATCAGTGCTAGTTACATGACTCTTGGGCAGTCTGTGAAGGGAGGAGGACATTGGCATCAATTATACAAAATAGGGGTGGTTTCAGGGGTAGAGACTGAAGCAGAAAAAGAGAAAGAAATTCAGGAAGACAATCTTCAGGAAGAGTCAAGGGATGGAGGTAGGAAATCCAGATATTACTCTCCATTTCCCTTTGATGCTTGCTTTCAAAATTACATTTGCACAATTAGGTAACATTTTCACCCATGGCAGCGTGTGGTAGAAAGTAGCTCTTAAAAACAGACCCCAGAGGACTGGGCTACCTCCTCCACACACACACTGAGCTGAAGGGAAGAGATCTAGCTGGATGTGACAAAGGGACCACCCAGCTCTTCCTTTGTCTACTTGTCTTCTGAAAGCACAAAATGGGAAGGGAAACTTGAGCACAAAGGCAGAGGCTTACAGTAGGATGGGTTTTCCTGCCACTCTTGCATCAGACAGAAGATGTGATAAGGTGGTCTTCACTTCTTGCATGCGTCCTATGTCGCTGGAATCCAGGACAAAAACAATCCCGTGTGCTTGTGCGTAGTAGTTGGGCCAGATTTCTCGTCCCTTCATATCTCCATTAAGGTCATAGATAGAAATTTCATATTCATCTAGCAGAACTGTAGTTAGTTTAGAGTTCATACAACGGTCTATCTTGCTAGGAAGTACTGTGCATAAGGGAAGAGAGGAGAAGCAACCACAAAGCAGAGGGATATAGTTAGATGAAAGAATTTGTTAAACAAATGTTACTAGAGCCATAGCTGGTTTGGCTCAGTGGATAGAGCGTCGACCTGCGGACTGAAGGGTCCCAGGTTCGATTCCGGTCAAGGGCATGAGCCTTGGTTGCAGGCACATCCCCAGTGGGGGGTGTGCAGGAGGCAGCTGATCGATGTTTCTAACTCTCTATCCCTCTCCCTTCCTCTCTGTAAAAAATCAATAAAATATATGTTAAAAAAAATGTTGACTAGAGCCTGCCCTGAGGAATGCTACTGAGGTATCTTGCCATCCTGTTCACTCATGGATTCATTTTCCTAAACCAGCACTTTGCCCAGGCAACCCTCTCCTGGCTCAGTAATCTTCAGTGAGTGGCCACTGCTCCCAGGAGAAAATACAGACTCCTTTGCCTCCTAACCTGCCAGTGCTATCTCTACCCTGTCTTGTGTCCACAGTGTCCCTGGTACACACCCAGTCTTTTCTTCCCTCTGCTCCTTGGCTCACTCTCCCCCCACTACACAAGAATGTCACGCTCTTTTGTGCCCTGGGCCTTCACAAGATGCTATTTTCGCAGCTTAGAACATTTCTTACATTGCTCTTTCCTTGGTTAATACCTATTTTTAAACATCTATTTAGATCTTGTTTCCCCTAGAAATTTTTTCCTAACTCACACCCCCACCCCCAAATCTGGGTAAGGTGCCTTTCTTCTGGGCTTATCACTATAACAGTACATATGACAATGTTATAAATTCAGTGATTTACTAATCTGGATTATACACTGCAGTAGGACAGGGACCCTTTCAATTTTATTCACTGCTACATTCACAATGCCAAGGGCAGAGGTGCTCAATAAATATTTGTTGAATGAATTTGATGAATGAATGAATAAATGAATGAGCAGGAGGCTCTTCTCTCCTACCCTTTTTTCAAGGCTCAGGAAGGCTTCTTTAGGGAAGCTTATCTGACCACCCCAACTCCACTTTCTCTCCCTCATTGAGCACATGGTCTATTAAGCTGGTCATTTACCTCCCTCTGTGCATGCCATGGCTTCCCAACTAAAATAATGAGGGAGGGGCTTTGCATTAGTTTACACTCAGTAGGTGTTCAATACATGTTTATGGTGCCTGTTATTGTGGGTAAGTATGAAGTACTTTTCATATGTCTTCTAAGAAACCATGCCAAATTTAGATACATTTGCCCTGTCAAGGCCATGGCCAGATCATACAGTCCCATAGGGCAGTGGTCGGCAAACCGCGGCTGGTGAGCCACATGTAGCTCTTTGGCCCCTTGAGTGTGGCTCTTCCACAAAATACCACGTGTGGGCACGCACGTACAGTGCAATTGAAACTTCGTGGCCCATGAGCAGAAGTCAGTTTTCGGCCTGGGAGAGTCTATTTTGAAGAAGTGGCATTAGAAGAAGTGGGGGTGTCGGTCAGGCGATGGGAGGCGGGCCGAGGGATATGCAGCACAAGGCAGGTGCACGATTCATGCCCGAGTTGAGTGAGCCAGTCAGTTAGCAGTCTCATTGTGCAGTGGTTAGTGCTAGTCGCGTCTGCAAATCACGCGTTGGTGACAAAACTACCTACTCAAAGCATAAAGTTACCTGTATTTTTTTGGCTTTGTTGACTAATGAGTTTGCCGACCACTGCCATAGGGCATTCCATACCTATTCTGCCCCCATAGAAGTGCAGTTCAAAAGGACAATCTTTCTACAAATCCCAGTCTGTTGAACTGAAAGTTCTGACCTAGATTTCTGCCCACATAAGCAGCAAAATGATTTTATATATTCTCTATACTCAGACTTGGGAGTTCTAAGACCAGAATCAGTAGCTTTCAATTTCTAATCTCAGATCTACTTGTGACATTTTCATTAGGATTGCCAGAATGAATCATTTAGCTGAGAAGTTAATAAGATGCTTTCAGATCATTGGTAATGTATGATTATATAGACATTTACATATATATGCATATATTATCATTATTACATTTTAATGTGATCTTATAACTTCTGTTTTCATGTTAGTCAATGCTCTTTTTAATTATAGCTTTCAGATAACATAAAATTTTCAGTCACAACTTTGATGTGATATTTGCTATGTCTCGCATTAGACTACTTAAAATAATAAGCGAATAAAGATAGTTTTAATTTGTTTCCAGCATGAAGGCAAGCTTTAAGTTATTTTTCCCCTGTCTAATCAAAACATTTTCCTTAGTTATTTTTTCTTTTTACTTGAAACCTTACCAATTCCTTCAATAATGCAATCTATTATTGGCAACCCTAGAAGCTGTGAGAAGTTGTTGTTCCCTGGCACTTTACATTTCTCTTATCTCCTCTATTAATTCATAAACTCCCTGAGGACAGGTAATGAGTCTAATTCATTTCGATATCCCATAAAACACAACAGTCCGGGTACCGTTGGCTTCTGAGTTACTTGGCGATGATAAAGTCCTACCCTACACCAATTGAATCGGGATCTCTATGCTGGGACCCAAGTATTTGCATGTTTAACAAACTGCTATATTTAACAAAATCTGTAGGTGATACTTCTGCACTTTAAAGTTTGAGACCCACTACCCTAAAGAGCAAAGAAATCAATGCCTGTTGTGTCTTAGCATCATCTGGTGCTCCTTGTTAGATTTTGATTCCATGCCCCGCCCCCTAGTCCAAAGTGTCTGAGCCTACAGGTCCCACTAAGTAAGTGTAAAAGCATCCCACATTATTCTCATTTTTGGCTTTTAGTGCTCACTATGCTAAGGATCACCTATGGAGCTTTTAAAAACTATGACACTAGATCTCCTTCTCTGAAGGTTTGATGCCGTAGATCTGGGGTGGGGCTCAAGCATCATGTTCATTTTTAAAAGCTTCCCAGGTTATTGAAATGTATAGCCAGATTTGAGAGGCACTGCCCTAAATTCCCTCATTTAGGGCACCTACTTATGCTCATCCTTGGGTTTTTCACCCCATGTGACCTTTCCAGACAAAACAGTTATAGTATATGCTGTCATTGAGAATAATGGCTTCAGATCACAGATAGTTCATAGCTTCAAAGTTACTACTTATAGTAACACAAGTTACTACTTATAGATTGGTATTTCCTTCCTAGGCTGTTATCTGCAATCATAAACATTTGCAGGCACAGGAGAGGTGAACTATTGCATATTGTGTACAGAGCAGCCTAATAGATTGACTGTAGTAGTCCTGTATGGACTGAGACATTCCTTAGAATGTGACATCAGTGGAACTTTGCTTCTTGGCCATTAGAAACTTCCCTGTGAATGAATTCACAACTCCAGGCTCTATCCTCTAGAAGTCAGAATGGAAAGCAGATACTATTCTCAAAGACAAAGTAGCATATGGCTAATTATGGAAAAATGCTTCCCAAAGCTGGCTGCCCATCAAAAACACCTGGAGAGTTCTTAAAATATAGATTCCAGGGCCCCACTCAGGTAGATAATGGAGAGGATGAAATGCTAGGTAGTAGGACAGCATTATAGAAGGCATAGGTATGTGAAATAGATCAGTATGATGGCAGAGGAATGGCAAGTCATTTGTTTTGGCTCTATCAGGTCACATGCAGAGAGCATGAGAAATGAAGCTGGAAGAGAGTCAGAAACAAAATCATAGAGGACCCTGTGTGCCTCTAGGAATTTAAATTTTATTTTGAATACAATGAGGAGGTATTAAATGCTTTTGAGCAGAAGAAAGTGCCATGATCAGATTTTTGTATTAAATCCTTCAGGCAACTGTGTTGACTGAATGCTGGGGAGACAACTAGAGATGGAAAGATCAGCCAGCAGCCTGTTGGTGTAGTTCAAGAAAATTGCTGCAGGTTTCCAGTACACCAGTGGCAGAGGAGTCAGGTTAGCCCTTTCCTGTACTTTGCTGAAGGCTTCTAAATGATATAAAATTCTGCCACATCATCATACCCCTACTTTTATTTAATAAACATCAATAGAGAGAATCTTATGCCAGCCTGTGTGCTGGGCTCTTTGACTAGCATTTAGTTTTGTCTTCACAACTAGAATAGTAGCTCCCTTCAATTCTGTGTAACTGCTTCTTGAAATGTCAAGGTATTAAACTGGAGATCTGGTATTAAACTTGCATAGCTCTGAATTGACAACATTTCACAAGTTCCAACCCTCTATATTAACTGTCACAAAGTATTTAATGTTATTAAACTTCTTAAGACCAAATTCCACTTTAATTGAGCTCTGAAATGAAACACTTTTTCAAACATGCTGTCCTTCATAATTGACTGCAGTGTTTTACATAGTTTGAATCCATTCATACTGATACTATGTGAGGATGTTTAATTAGGATATCTTGTAAAGGGAGATGGTGACAGACATTACATAAACAAGCTGATAATACCCCAGGAAAGGATTGTGTATGTGTGTTGGAAAGTGCTTATCTTCAAAAGAGGCAACCTGAGGGCTGTGAAGTAAAACTAGGAAGGAATAATTATTTCATTGGTCACTGGGGCCCTTGAGAGACCTAAACCAATGTCTAATGCTCCTAGTTCCTTACGTCTGCAGAAGGCCTCCATAAGTACACTTTTGCCTGCATTCTCCAGACCGATGATGATGATGGTCACATTCCTATTAATGGAAAAGAAAAATGAGCCAAAGCCTTAAAAACAGTTAGTTCTTAAGCTAAACAAAGAAGTCTATTCTTGTTTGGTGTTTGGGGATCTTCCTACAGTAGTCCCAATATATGTATCATAAAAGGCACAGCCAAGGTGGTAGAAGGTTATATAGGAATCCCTTCCCAAGGTCTCCAAGGATGTGTTTCTTCCCGAGTCACTTGCCTTGCAGAATTAGCCATTCTCTTCAAACCTTGTCCTCAATCTTGCATGCAGACAGACTAATCCCTTCCCCTAACAATATATATCATGATTTGTCCCATGTGGGACTGTGGGCAGATACATTGGAGGAAATGGTGGAGTAGGTCTAGGGAAATAATTACAATATTACCTTCGTGTCTCATCAGTATTTTGGGGGGGCCTGCAGGATGTCATTTTCTTGAACATGATTCAGCTTAGTTCTGTAATATTAAGGGAAACAAGTAAATAAGAAATCAGCCCTGCCATTAACATTGAACTTGTCGGTTTATGACTACATAGGTGCTGATAAACAGAAAGCCTTGTACTGACAGAAGTCCATTACTTCATTCTAGCCACCCTTATCTATAAATGTCATAGAGCGAGGGATGGGTAATCCTCAATTCTATTGGCATATTCTTGCAAAATGGGATGGTTTCTTATTAAAGCAACCTACACAGGCATGATGGCATCAGGTGTGGCCTTCCCTTCAGCCGTAGATCATCCCTGTTGGGAATATTTTCATTCAAACTTAGATGGGGTGAGATGAAGCTTCGGAGAAGAACCAGCTGAGATTTCAAGGACCTATTTATTGGGAAACCTGTTCTAAGTGACAACTATCTACTATTCTTGGTTCTCTTATTGCCTCTGCTTAAAAAATGTTGGTGAGCCATTGTCATAGATTTCATAAAATTCCTAGAGCTGTAAGGGACCTTAGAGATCATCTAGTCTAATAGATTGCAAACATCAGTCCAGGTGCCCCACTCTCAAAGATTCCCAGGGAGTTGCATAATCTCTCCAGTAGTTTTCAAAGTGCAACAATATTTGGAAGTGAATACCTAAGTAAAAAGGATAATTTAGACAATCACCTCAAGGTCCATCCATGTTGTAGCATATATTAGTATTTTGTTCCTTTTTATGGCTGAATAATATCCCATTGTATGGATATACCACTTTTTGTTTATTCATTAGTTTATAGACATTTGGCCCTTGTCAATAATGCTGCTATAGACATTTTTGTACAACTTTGTGGACATATGTTTTCAGTTTTCATGGGTATATATACTTAGAAGTGTAGTCACTGGGTCATATAACTCTACATTTAAACTTTTGAGCAAGTGTCAGACTGTTTTCCCAAGTGGCTGTAACATTTCACATTCCCACTAGCAGAGCAGGGAGGAAGCCAGCTGCCTGAGCATTGGCTCCACCTACTTGTGCATATTCATTTACACAGTGGCATTCTCTACCTGTACATTTAGGAGGCCATATCCACTGGGATTATAGATACCATTTGCCCTTGATACATAGTAGGCCCTGTCCTAGGCACTTTCCAGTCATATTCTCCACTTGAGAGGCTGATACAGTGCCTCAGTGTGCCTATATGGTAATGGCAAATTGAGATTAGAACTGTCAACATAAGAAACATGCAAATCTACAGGGAATTTTTGTGAGTTTATTTGAACCAAACCATTGACAATTGTCAGCAAACACAATCTCAAGGAATTGAGAAAATGCTCCAGAGAATGGCAGTTTTGCACTTTCTTCACACACACACACACACACACACACACACACACACACACACACATCAAAAACAACAACAACAAAACACACAAAAAGACAA